TTTTATTTATTTGACAGAGAGATAGAGAGCACAAGTAGGCAGAGGGAGAGGGAGAAGCAGGCTCTCTGCCGAGCAGGGAGCCGGATGTGGGCCTTGATCCCAGGATCCCCAGGATCATTACCTGAGCCGAAGCAGCTGCTTAACCGACTGAGCCACCCAGGCGCCCCAAATTTGTCATTATTCTTAAGCAATATAATTGTGTATATAGAAAATCCAAAGGAATCTACAGATAAACTGTAAGAATAAAAAAATGAAGGAGCAAGGTTACTGGATATGAGGCCATTATAAGAATCAGTTGTGTTTTTACCTGCTAGCAACAAACAATAGAAATCATGCAAAAATACACCATCAAAATGTCAGATATTAAAAAAAAGTCAGATATTTAGGAATAAATCCAATAAAAGATGGTCAAAGCCTCTACACAGGAAACATAAGATACTGAAAGAGATGTTTTAAAGATTTAAATAAGTGGTATTGATAGATTGGAAGCTTCAGTATTGTAAAGATGCCAGTTCTCAAGTTGGGGTTCTGTTGAATCTGTAAATTACTGAAAAGCCCAGCTGGTTTTCTGTGCATGCGCGCGTGTGTGTAAATTGACATGCTAATTCTAAAGTTTATTAGGGAAATGGAAGGAACCAAGAATAGCCAAGATAATCTTGAAGGGAGACTTATATTACCTGATATCAAGACTTACAAAGGGATAATAGTTAAAACAGTGTGGTATTAATACTAGGATAGACAGAACAATGGAACAGAATATGGAGTCAAGAAAATACCCCTATCTCATACCTACACAAAAACCATTTCTAAGTGGATTGTAGATATAAATGTGAATGGTAAATAATATGCCTCCTAGAAGATAATGGAGGATATCTTCATAATTTAGGGGTAGGTAAGATTTCTTAATCTGGATGAAGCACTGGAAGTTTGGAAGAAACAAGATTAATTGGACATTAGGTTTAGTAACTTCTGTCCATAAAAAGTCACCATTAAGGGAGTGGAAAGGATGGAGGTATACGTGATACATATAAACACAAAGGTTTGCATCTGTAATTTATAGAGAACTCCTACAAATAAGACAGGCTATGCAATGAAAAATGAACAAACGGCACTTTACAAAAAGAGGATATCCAAATAGTTGGTAAATATGAAAAGGTGTTAAACCTAATTTGTCATCCCCCCAAATGGCTAAAACCAGAGAGACTGACAGCACTGAGTGGTGTTGAAGATGTGAAGTCACTGGGATGTCTCTGCACTGCTCTTTGTTGTGTTGAACTTGGCAAGTTGATTGCAGTTTCTACTAAACCTATACCCAGTAACCCACAACTCCATTTTTGAGTGGAATATGAACAAATGTGCACCAAAAAGATATGTCCAAGAATGTTTGTTCCACGATTAGTCATGAGCCTCAAACCGGAAACAACACAGACCCCATTAACAGGATGGATGGATATTTCTTATATAGTCATATAGTGGAATGCTATATAACAACGAAAATGGCTGATCTGCCATGCACAACACCACAGATGATGTTCCTTAGGGCGCCACCCGGGCCCCCCGCCTGTCCTTCGCCTCTGTGGCTTCGGTGTTCATTTATGTTCTCAGGATTCCCAGCCATACTGCTCCAGCCCAGACTGTTCCAGACACTGTAGCCCAGCTCCTACTCCGAGGTCTCACAGGCACCTCACTTCAAAGGCAGCATGTACTGAACTCTTGTCTGCCCCCTGAACCTGCTTCTCTAGGCAGGTCAGTGTTTCAGCAAATGATACCAGCGTTTACCCTGGGAATCGTTTGTTGGCTGTTTCTCTGTACTATGCCCACTCCCCAAAATGTAAACTCAAACTGCTTTGTTCAAGAGTGAATTTAACGATGCTTAGAATAAGAGTTGGCGTGTAGTAGGGGCTCATGTCTGTATTTTGTTGAAAACATCTACCCTCTTTCCATGTTCAGTTTTGCTTCCAAGCTCTGTTGGTTTTTATCGCCTAAGTACCTCCAAAATCCACTTATTCCTTTTTATACCCACAGCCCCTTATCTAGCCCCTTATCTGCCATCTGTTGTCTGCACGGCAGGGCGGGGGGGGAGGGGCGGCCAAGGGATGAGTGGGTGGGAGCAATTTGGAAGAAGAGGTTTTGGGTTAGGACATAGTTACGTTGCTGGTGAAATATCTAATAATGCAGCATATAAAACTTTTGTCTTTTTCTCTAATGGCACCAAATTTATTCAAACTTATAACTGTATTGGTTGTCACCTCATGATATGTAGCTTTCTTTTATGGCCAAGCACCGTGGTCACCAGTGTGAGGTTGTGCATTCGGGGGGTGGGGGGTGAAGGCGGCCTGGGAAGGTAAAGGATAAGGGATAGCGGAAGACTGGTCTGCTGGTACTCCGTATCTAACGACATTCCCACCCCCTCTGCTAAAGGTCACTAACCTTGACTTTCCAGATATACAGGGGTGGCTCTGTCCCACTCGTCTCTGAATTGGAACAGTCATAACATCTTAATCTATTGGGGTGAAGAGCCCCCGATTCACCTTTATAAATTGAACTCTCTAATCCGACGTCTGTGTTTTCCGTGTTTTATAAAATAGTGCTATTCTTGACTTCTTGTGTATTACAAGATAGTGCAAAAACCTCAGGCTTTCTGCTTGGATTGTCTGTATCGGAGTATCTTAATGTGTTTCTTGGTGATAAATCCAAATATTCCTGGGGAAACAGGCATTAAAATTCAGGGCAAGAATCTCTGTCTTGGCAAGATTTTCTTCCCTAGACTTGAATTAATAGGTTTGCCTTTTCTCACTAATTTTTCTAGTTTAAACATCCACTGTATTGGGCCATAGTGTGTTTGTAAGTGGGACATTTAGTTATTGAGTTTTTACAGATTCCAGTTTCTGAAACGGTCATGCTCATTTCTGTATTTACCTGAACAAATGTACCACCTGTTTGTCTCATCCCTTGCCCCCATGTAAATAAGCTTCAGGAGAGCAGGAACCTTGTCTGTCCTATTCTACAGTGCTTCGTGTCAGAGTAAGCAGTTGATAAAATAGTTATTGACCGAAAGAGTAATGCTTCTACTTCGGGCCTTTGGTGGTTTTCCTTCTTACAGTATCCCCATCTTTCTTTCAGCATTGGAGAGGGGTCTCTTGAAAACCCTACAGAAACTGGATGAATATCTGAATTCTCCCCTCCCTGATGAAATTGATGAGAATAGTATGGAGGACATTAAGTTTTCTACACGTAAATTTCTGGATGGCAATGAAATGACATTAGCTGATTGCAACCTGCTTCCCAAACTGCACATTGTCAAGGTAGGCCTGCAAGATGTGGTGTGACATCACCATTAGACCGGGTATTCTCTGTGTACTAAGATAGCACTTTCTTTGTCTATAAAATTTTTTTTTTTTTAATCTGGTATATGACTAGGAACCCCGAACAGTATAACTTAAAGCTATTTAGGCAACAGTTGGAATACCCTCGAGTTAACAAAATGGAAAATTATGTCTTAAAATTGAGGCATATGAGAAAGAAGAATTTTTTCTTTTTTTTTTTTTTTGGTGACTGTATAAAAATTCAAAAATGTGGCAGGTAACTTTGAATTGGAGTTTACTACATTGACTCACGTTGTCAGATTCTGCTGTGTGATCACCTGGTTATTTCTATACAAGGCAAAGAAATATTTACTGAGCATTTATTGTGTAAGACACTGTGCTAAATAGAATAGTAGTAAACACTAGTTGTGATAAAGATCAAGACCAAGGGAAACAGAGATGTAAAATCATGTGTGTGCCTTAAAGTATTTCCCTGGGGATTACACCTGGCTGTCTCTCTGGGTCACCAGGCACGTGTTTGCGATCCCTGTCACATGACTGAAGTTCAGACGTACTTTGCAGTCCTTGTCATTATTTAAAACTCTAGTTAGAATGAAGGTGGCTTCTTCTCAAATAGAAGCAGTTCTCAGAGATTCACAGATTTAGTTTGCCCTAAAATCAGAGATAAGTCTGGTTTACAAGTCATGGAAAATAAATGTTAACTTTTGATCTCTTTGTATTTCAGGTGGTGGCCAAAAAATACCGCAACTTTGATATTCCAAAAGGAATGACTGGCATCTGGAGATACTTAACTAATGCGCACAGTAGGGATGAGTTTACCAATACCTGTCCCAGTGATAAGGAGGTTGAAATCGCCTACAGTGATGTAGCCAAAAGACTTACCAAGTAAAATATCCCTTCTGAGGGAGATGTCTTTGCATCTTCCCCTAAGAATATGCTTTTCCTAACAGACTGCTCCTGTTCCTATAAAGTAGAAATTTTATTTTGCATGAACGTGCAGTTATTCAAGATTAGGATAAAGGACAGACAAGGTGTAGTAGCTATCTTTAAATATACACTCCAAAGCAGTATTATGTTAAAGTACTTTATCCTTTCTCCCTCCCCTGCCCCACACCCTCTCTCCTCTAATCGGAGACACTCCGCCACACCCTTCACTCTAGAGGCAGATTGCCGTCCCTCCGGGGGGAGCCCTCCCCGTTGTGTCTGTTCCCTGTGGACTGAGGGCAGAACTTCGGAGGGCCAATGTTTAACTGTCAAAATAGTACCCACGACTTCATCAGTCAGCCCCAAACTGGTGCACAATGCATGGTACAAGGCATATTTATGTATTTGGGGAATTGTATAATATTTAGTAAGAGTATATGAAAGGATTGCTACTGTATCAGAATACTCTGTCTCAATTCAGTCTGTCCTGGGTGTGTCACCACCAGTGAAGAGAGCCTTCCACGGAAAGTCACTACAGATTTTTCTGTTTTACTTTGTACATGGATTTTTACTTTTGCCTAAAAGCATTTATCCTTCATACCAGTTATAACATCTGACACTATGTAGGAGCTACAAGTTCAGAGAGAGGGATGATATTCTCAAGATCTTCCTCAAAGCATTTTATCTATCTGAGAAAAACCTATGGGCACCTGCTACTCTGTCTGAATGTGTTGCTTTTTGTGTGTATTTTGCCCAGTGCCATTCATTTGGAACCTTATTGCTTTCCTCCTTTATTTTAAAAAGCTCCTTTTTAGGTAAGCGTAGACCTTGCTGTCTGTAGATCTTTTGAGTAACACTACATAAACTGATATTTAGTTGATTTAGCGATAGCAGTATGACTTGTAATGTAAAAATTAACACAGATAATAACCTAAGGAATGTAGGGTGGGTTTGTCAAAATGTCAAGGAGAATTTTGTTTCTGAAGCATATTTAATTAATATGGATAATCTAAAGAATGCCTTTTCCATCATATATTAAAAACAAGATAAAACAGCCATCACCAGCTTTCCCATTCAACCCCCGTTGACTCTTAAACTTTGGGTAGAGCATGGTTCACTCCTTTGGAACTAAATTATAGTTGTTATGGCGAGTACGTATTTACTGCAGTTTTGCCTAATCTCAATCATTGTACTTCCTTGAATTAAATTTTTCTAAAGCCACGTTGAGGAATAGCACTCTGCATGTTTGTTTTTTTTAAAAATTCAAGTCCTAAACCAGGAATGATTTGTGCTCTAACAAGGGAGGATGAACTTGGTAAAAATAAAAGTTTGCTATGTATTTATTCATTTTTAAAAAATGGACTGTCTAAGTACTACTGCTCCAAAGACCATAGTTGTAACTATCATACATTTTTGGTAATTTTTTATATGTAACTTGTTTAAGAAGTGCTATTTCTCATAGGCTGTTTTTGGAAATTTACGTTATTGCTTTAAAATGGCAATGTTTTCCCCTGTTTGGTGTGTTAACATTTAGTAATCACTGGCATTAGGGAAGCAGCCTGATTTTTATAAGCATATACTGCATTTTTTAACCTATCAGTCAGTAATTAGCTTGGTATAGAAAGATAAGCTCCATATTGTATCCATTTGGCTCAGGGAGGTTTCTTTGCCTTGCCTTTCTTAGAACTCCTTATTGCTGATCAAAAGTTTGGGCACCCACCTTTAATTAAATATTGGATGATGACTTACCTGGTTGCAAGAAAAGCACTCAGGTTATCACTGGGAAGTTCTGTAGCAGTAGCTTCGGTGGGAGAAAATGTCACATGTGCTCCAGGACACAGGCAGCCATCACCACTTCTCACCTCCTTTTAAAATAGTAGTAACTTGGCATTCAGGTGATACTGAACCTCGCCTCCTGGCTCTCAAAGTATGAAAAAGATTCAAGAGAAGGGTCTGTTCTTTCCAGTGAGCAGGGGACTAAGTGGTGCAGAATAGAGGGGCTAATGAGGACGGAGGTACATTTCTCAAAATAGAGGGATGAAAACCACATTCTGAAATTCATTTGTGAACTACTTTCACTTTGGATATTTATTCTCTTCATTGTCTTTTTAAAATTTATCCCATGATTGTACTTGGCTGTCTGTCTAGATGTCCAAGGAAGGCAGGTCTGTCTGTTACGATTTTGATGTAGAAAGACAGATCCTATTATTACTTTATCAGGGAAGATAGATGAAATTGAGATTGGCAAATGGACAAAAGCTAGGAAAAAGGATGATCCCAGAACATGATTTTTTTCCCCCCATTTATACTTTTGGAAAGATCATAGCTTAAAATCTTGGGAGATTTTAGGGCATAGAAGTTTTCATGGCAGTTCGTGTCGTTTATGAACTGACATAATGCAGATCATCTGATACTATTTCTACAACTACTAAATCATTTCCCCCTTTATGTAAACCCCTTCTGTTCCACCTCACCAAGATTAGAGTCTGAATGGAAACTCTCACTGTTTTCCAAGGAATTCTGAGAAATTTTTGTGTTGAACAGTTGGAAAGCTCTTTACTATTTCAGTTGATATAACTTCCTTTTTTTTTTTTTTTTTTAAATGTAGGTGCAGATTTTCTATACCCCTCTGCTATCTTTTATTAAGAGCATTGACTTTTGTGATGAAAATCATATTAGGTTTGATTTCTTGATAACTCAGCTTACACAATAGTTTTAAACTCTTGAGCAATCTGTGTACAATTAAGAGATTTCTGACATTTATTCTTCACTAAGTTGATCAACTCTAGAATTTAGGCATTTTAACATCGGTTGAGTTTGGGATCTTTCCAGAGTTATGTAGATAGCTTTTGTTTCTGTACATTTAAAATATCCATTTAAGAAATACCTATAAGGTAAAAAATGAGAAGAAATAGCAATGTATTTTTTCATAAACATTTTGATACACATTTCCTCATTTATTGATTAACCATTTTCTTACACTGGTTATAATCAGTATTTGATTCAGAGAGGGAAGCATTCATTATTGATATACTAAATGGGCTTTTTTTTTATTCCATCTTTTACAAATGATCAAGATCAGGGCTGTCGAAATTATATTTTTATCATGGAAAAAATTTCAACTCCCTAAGTCTTAATGTTGAACAGAATTGGAGTATTTTCTTTAGAATTACTTGAAAAGGCAAATGAAAGCTTATTATAGAATGCTTGTATTTTCTTTTCTCTGTCTAGAACCAGTATATTGCTGGCAGCTATTGTATTAAAAAAATAAAGTATATTTTCACTATCATAAAAGGTTCTTTTTTCCCCCATCATGAAAATAAATAACAACCTGGGGTAAAAGTGTTTTACTTGAGACTACTTTTTTCCATGAGTGGGTGACTCAACACATTTAATAGATTAAAGGGGAAAAAATCATATGGTCATTTCAGTAGGTGCATAAAATAATTTGATAAAAACTTTCATGATTCTCATTCTTAGCAAAGTAGGGCCAAAGGCAAAAATTTTTTATCCTGAAAAGCCATCTGCCAAGAACCTACAGCAAATTTCATATGTAAATATGAAACAAAAGCCCTTCCATTAAAGCCAGGAATAAGACTGGATTGCCTTCTGTCACAGCTATTATTCAGCTACTTTTTACAGCTACTTTATTAGAAGCATCCTAGTCAATGCAGTAAAATCCTTAGAAAGAATAGGGAATGGAAAAGAAGTGACCAAATGGTTGCTCTTTGCAGATGATGCATATACATAAAGGAAATCCAAGATAACCTATCAGAAATAATAAAAAAATTCAGCCAGATTACTAGGTAAAATATTGAGAAAATATAATTACTATATACTAATATTAACCATATTAAAATTAATAAGCTAGTAACATTGGATGACATTTCTTCTGGACAAAACCTGGGTGACTGAGGGAAATGAGTGGGAAATTGTCAATTTATACTTTTTGAGCTTTGAGAAATTTGTAACATATATTACCTATTCTAAAAAATAAAATGCTTTAAAGGATAAACTAATCTTTTTATCAATCTATTAATCTTAGATCAAATCTAATAAAAAATGCAATTCCTTTATAAGAAAAGTGCAAAATATTATCAAAGGACCTAATAGAAATTTGCTCAACGGATAGGTATACCATGTTCATGGATAGGGAGCTTAAGACTCTTAATTAAGAGTTTTAATTCTGTCTCAAGTAATTTATAAATTCAGTAGGTTTTTCAACAAAATCTCAAGTTGTGTGTGTGTGTGTGTGTGTGACAGAACTAGACAAATGCATTTTAAAAATTCATATGGAAGAATTATGCCCCTCTATAGCCCATATATATTTGGAGAAGGGAGGGAAATCTAGGAAACTTGCCTGACAAGATATAAAGACTTAAAAGTTTACAGTAATTGATGGGTAGGATATAGTAGGTCATAGTGACACAACAGTCATACTGCAACTAACAAAAACACCAAAATAATATTTTTATTTTATTTCAGAAAACTGGAAGCAGTAAGGACTAAATGAATTGGAATTTCAGAGAAGGAAGCCTTTCTGAGGTGGACTGGTGGTTTGGCCGTTTTCTTCCCTGGGGGGCATTTGCTGATTCTAGGCCTGAGACTGAGGATTGGGTTTGGCCCATGCAGAGGGGCTCTGCTGGGGAAAAAATCACAAGACTCTTGGTTACAGGGCACACTGGAAACCTGGGGACCCCAAATACATGACTGGTTTTCTCACAGGACATTTGCTGAATTCCAGAGCTGTACATGGCATCCTAGAAGCTAAGCCCAGGGCTTCCAAAAGGTAGAATGAAATGTCCCATAATCTCACCATATTTAGGAGACAAGATTTCATTAGCAGGAGTTTACCCAAAACACACAGAAAGCAGCATAATGGTTGCCTGGCACTGGGGGCAGGAGTGGGAATTGCTAACAAGCATAAGGGATCATTTTGGGATGATGGATCTGTTCTAAATATGGATTATAGATAAGGGTCTAGTGTCCAGAATACATAAAGAATTATTATAACTGAATAATAAATGAGCAAAGATTTGAATAGATACCTCTTCAAAGAAGATACACAGATGGCCAATAGACATATAAAAGAAGCTTAACATAAGTCATTAGGGAAATGTAAATTAAAACCACACACACACAAAAAACCCTGTCTAGTATGGCTATCAAGAAGACAATTATTAAATGTGGGCAGTGATGTGGAGAAATCAGAACTCTCAAACATTGCTGGTGGGAATGTAAAATGGTGCAGCCACATGGGAAAACAAGTCTGGCAGTTCTTCAAAAAGTTAAACATAGAGGAGTCATATGACCCAGCGATTCCACTCTTAGGTTTATAACCAGGAGACATAAAACTTTGTCCACACATCTTGTACATGGATGCTCATTTCACTGTTACAGTAGCCAAAAAAAGTGGAAGCAACCCAGATGTCAACAGATGAATGGGTAAAAGAAAAATCTTTCCATATATGCATATAATGGGATACTATTCAGCCATAAAAAAGTACAGACACAAGGTACAATACAAGAAGCTTGAAAACATGCTCAGTGAAAGAAGCCAATTGCAAAAGGCTGCATATGATTCCATTTATATGACATTTCCAGAATAGGGAAATCTTATAGAGACTGACAAATAGTGGGTTGCCAGGAGTTGGGGGAGGAAAGAATGGGGAGTGACTGCTGGTGAGTATGTGGTTCCTTCTTGGGGTGATGAAAATGTTCCGGAACTAAGTAATGGTGATGGTTGTTCAACTTGGTGAATACTAAAATACAAAAAACCACTGAATTGTGTACTTTTTTAAGAATTTTTTATTCATTTGAGACAGCAGGAGCAGTGGGGAGAGAAAGAGGGAGAAGCAGACTCCCT